AGTTTGTTGAAAGATTTCAGTTTGTATTCTGTTAATTTCTGGAACCTTGTTTTACTAGTGCCTTCAATGCAGCTTGAACTTCTTCTTTCAGAACCATTGGTTCTTGATTATATGTATGCTACTTCTTGAAATGGTTGAATATCAAATTTAACCATTTCTTTCTGGTACAGTGACTCTGTATTCCTTCCATCTTTTTTGATATTTTCTGTATCATATATATTTTGCCCATGTTGTTGTTGTTTTAAGTGCCGTCATTGTTAAGAGCCATTGAGTCAGTTTTGATCCTGTATAGAGTTTCCAAGGAGCACATGGTAGGCTTGAACTGCTGACCTTGTGGTTCCTAATCCAGTGCTGATCGTACAGTGCTACAGCAGGAATCCAAATTCAGTACTGCAGGTCAAGGTTTGCTTTTTTTTTTTTTTTTCAGTTCTTTCAGCTTGAGAAATTGGTTTTCTAACTCTAGGTCTTTGCATGTCTCATTAGAATGCTTAACTTTGTCTTCTGGAGCTGCCCTGTGATAGGATAATATCTATATGCCTACAAAGATCAGTTAATACAGTAATTATTCAAATATATGTACCAACCACTAAAGCCAGTGGTGATGAAATTGAATTCTACCAAAATTCTTTAGTCTGAAATTGATCAAACATACAATTAAGATGCTTTGGTAATTGCTAGTGATTGGAATGCAACAGTTAGAAACAGAGGGAGTAATAGTAATTGGAGATCGCAAAAAATAACTTTATAAGACCAAGGACTTATTCAAAGCAAATACCTTTTTTAATAACAGAAAAATCTATTATATACATGGACCTCTCCAGATGGAATACATAGGAATCATATTGACTACATCTGTGGAAAGAGACAATGGAAAAGCTCCATATCATCAGTGAAAACAAGGCCAGGGACAGACTGTGGAACAGACTATCAATTACTCAAAACCAATGATTTGTTCATTTCAAATATCTTCTTTAGATAGCATATGAGACGACTATACACATGGACCTCACCAGATGGAATACATAGAAATCAAATTGACTACATCTGCAGAAAGAGATGATGAAAAAGCTCCATATCATCAGTCAAAACAAGGCCAGGGCAGACTGTGGAACAGACCATCAATTACTCATATGAAAATTCAAACTGAAGTGAAAGAAAATGAAATCAAGTCCACGAGAGCCAAAATATGACCTTGAATATATGCCACCTGAATTTAGAGATCATCTGAAGAACAGATTTGATACATTAAAGATCAAAGACCAGAAGAGTTGTGGGATGACATCAAGAACATCATTCATAAAGAAAGCAAAATGTCATTCAGAAGACAAGAAAGAAGGAAAAGGTCACAATGGATGTCAGAAAAGACACTGAAACTTGCTTTCCA